TTATATATATATATATATATATATATATATATATATATATATATATATATATATATATATATATATATATATATATATATATATATAGATATAGATATAGAAAAGAAGTTTAGATCTTTCTCTTTTCAAGGAAGTGTTGTTTCCTTGGCCAAACTCCGCGCGTCGAGCTATATGTTTGTGTCTTAAAGTATGGTCGTCGGTCAGCTTACAGCCTTCATATAGTTTCTATACTGAATATCAACTTGTCATCTCGATGTCTTGTCTAAAGAAGATGTGTCATATGAACACATAGAAACATAGTCGTAATAAGCCATGAATGAAGTAGTGGGTCTTTCACTCTTTTCCTAGTGAATCGGGGAGCTCGGTCAAGGACTCATCGTTAGATCTCCTTGTCTCTAACTTGCTTTAAAAGAACGAGCTAACAAAATCCTTGAATGGGTGTAACGATCATTACCTACTGGTACGGTGGATCTAATTTGGCCATGAATACCGTAAGATGCTCAACTTCCTTCAACCCTTTAATGAAAACCCTAGTTGCTCGGACCCTGTAAACCTAAAATTCCTCCTAACATCTATATGGATGGACTTTGACGAGTGAATGCCCTGGATCTGCTCAATATAATATTGTATATGAAAGAAAAGGGGAAGGGGAGGCCCCAAGACATGATTTGGAATGATTTACTTTTACAATGAGAGAGATGTTTGGTGCATATTGAGAGAAAAAAGGGAACTTTTCTCCCTAAAATACCAACATTTGTATGTGGCACCAAGCATCACCAATCACCTTTTCCCCAAAAAGCTAGGGTTCATAGGATTGTTCATTGATGTCCCATTCATTTCCTTTTAAAATGAGCTATGAATTCAAGAACTAAGCTACAAAATAATGAAGTCTAGGGTATAGAAGACAACCAAATTAGTAGCTCAAATTTGAGATCGTGCTTAGCACACAAACGAGCGAAAAGTTAGGAAGATCGGGCAAAAGGGTCGGAATATTCTATGAACTTGTCTCCATATTTGAGAAATTCAAGGAAATTTGATCATTAGGGTTCGGCTCGTACCCTAATTTTGTTACTCGAACATGCATACATTGTGATAAATATAACCAGTAAATAAGTAAACTCGTAGGTGGAAATAGTATGCAGGGTCTCACATCGGTTGGAGAAGGAAACGAAGCATTCCTTATAAGGGTATGGACACCTATTCCTTACAGATGTGTTTTAAAATCATAAAACTAACGACGATACAAACAATATTTGCTAGTACTTACATAGTAGAGTTCTCGCCAAATATTCCTTAGCTATGCAACTTCCACTCGATGCGGACCATTCTTACTATCTAATGGAAAAGAGATGTTAAAGCAGTATAACATATAGATAATTGTAATCTGTAAATTCCAACGAGCTGGTTTTATTCAGCAATTACTCAACCATATAATAAAATTTTAATCTATGATTAAGATCGTATAATATGACGATTATGAATAAATTCAATCATATTAATGGTAGATTAATCTTCCTTAAATCAGTGGAGTGAAATCCCAACATCTGATTTAATTCCTTAAACGACAAAACCCCAACTTAATGTTCTTGGGGAGGGCCCCTCAAAAAAAAAAAAAAAAAAAAAAAAAAAAAAAAAAAAAAAAAAAAAAAAAAAAAAAAAAAAAAAAAAA